GTACACACACGGGTTCTCTCCGGGTACTCCGGCTTCCTCCCACAGTCCAAAAACATGACTGTTAAGGTTGGTTTATGCTTGACGCGTCCGCGAGGTCCGCACGGCTCCGCGCGGAAAAGTTGCGACATTTTGCGTCATTTTAACAACCACGCCCCTCCACCGCGTCTCCGCACGGCCCAAGATTTCCGCAACGAGCACCTCGGAAAATTTCTAACCACGCGGACGGACGGACGCGGAAAAACCGGCAAGAACTAGTATGGCAGAGGTTGGTAAATACAGACATTTGTATGATTCAGCTCTCAGAGATCACCGTGATCAACATGTTAATAATTCTTGGAAAGAAATAGCTCGCACTGTCGGAAAAGAGGAGGACACTGTTAAAAATGCTGGAATGCCGTGTTGTAAACACTAATTTCTACTTCTACTATGGTGTAGTGTTGGATGCATGCCGTAGAGCTCCATGCTGCCCCCTACAGTTTGGGAGAATATTGGCTCACCGCAGAGACGAGCCGCACGAACCATAAACGCTGCGAGTTGTGAAGCGCGTTCCATCCGCGAGCCGCATCACCAAGCGGAAAGTGAATGCGTCAAGCATAAACCAAGCTTTAGGTTGACTGGTCTCTCTAAATTGTCCTTAGGTGTGAGTGTGTGTGTGTGTGCTTGGTTGTATGTCGTATGTGTTTCTGTGTTGCCCTGCGATGAACTGGCAACCTGTCCTCAATGTACCCCACCTGTTTGCCCAAAGACTGCTGGAGATAGGCACCAGCCCTCTGTGACCTTGTGTGGAGAAGCAGGTATAAAAGATGGATGGATATTCAGTTTGACATGTCTTCCTATTAGTGATGTTATAATGATGTCCTTGAACACTCCACAGTCTGTTTGCATACACCTGGCTCATAAAGATTTTAGTCACTGTAATTTGATATTCATGACATAAGCTATATGTGTGATATTGTGTAGAAAGAAGAAGACGATGGGAGAGGAGTGTGTCGGCGTGCAGAGGAAGAAAAGTCCACAACTTAAACAAAATTCCTTTGGATTACAAGAAAGGCAAGCAGCAACTAAAGCAGACTTGGAGGTTTTGCTGATTTATGAAGGATTTGCATCGCCTTACTGAGAATACTAAAATTAGAAGACGATGCCCTGATTTATGTGGAAAAGTTAGGGGGTAGGGGGTGGAGGAACAATCCAAGACTGCTGCAGGCAGGAAGTTTTGGAATCTCCATGGAAATAAAGGCTAAACACACCAAATATTCTAGTCTGGTTCTGAAGATGAATACAAGTCTTAAAACAAGTCAGATTTTTTTTTTTTTGTGTTTCATTTATTTTTCTGATGTGTCTGATTACGTAAATGTGGACTAAACATGTTTAATTGGACTTTACTTCTACAGGTTGAAACCTGACTTCCTGCTCTGACATCTGTTGCTGATTTACACGGCTGATGCTGTGCTCATGTGAGAAAACTCACCAGGGCTCAGAAATGATGAAATCATGATGATGAATGAATGCATCAGACCTGACATCAACACCAGTCATTTCAGCTAATTTCCAGACGAGTGAGGAATGTACACATGCACATTTGATTTAATTTAGTTTTTCATCCTGGGCGGTTGATGACGATGATGAGTGTTGGACTATTCAGATTCCCTCAGAAATAAATGTCACTTCCCAGGAATTTCAAACTTGGAAGAATCCGAGGTCCTGTAATCCTAACCTTTCCCCTTCAGACATCCCCCTCCACACGGCGCTGCAGCATGGTGAGGGCCAGTGTCTCACTCCACAGGGGGACATATCTGAAACAGGATCTCTGTGAACAAAAATACTGGTAATTTACAGACACTGTGGTGCCACATGTGTCCCAGCTGAAAACGGTGTTCAACAGATGGAGATTTATAACTGGAGCTGAGAAAATGGCACTTGGCTACTAGAAAAAACACCCGAGGGGGAATGTGTGGCATCTGAGGAATGCCGTGTCGGGCTCACAGGGGAAACGAGGAAGGCAAAACATTTTTATACTGAAAGTGGAATTTTACAGAGAATACATGCAAGGAGCTTCGACTTGTAATGAAAGGATTTATAAAAGTTGTCATGGGCTGGAGAGTTTGAGAAGTCAAACTCTGATGAGCTCAATTTGGTTTTCATCGTTAAATATAAAGACAACAGACAGACAGACAGATAATTTACACATCACTTATTTTCTTATTTGATTATTACTGAAAAAAAGATAGGCAATCTTTCCTGTGACTTCAGTGACCACAAGGCCGGTCAGGACGTTTTCATTAAGGGTTTTTGGAGAGAGTACTTTAAAGACGGCCCCTAGACTCTCTGGGTAGAAGTAGCAGGACATTGAAACCTGTGTGATCTTAATGTTCATGTAAGCTCACCGCAGCTAGAGAGACACACAGTTTGGGTTTATCAGTAACTTCAGTTTGAACATATTCAAGGTAGATGACAAATGAAACTGAGACGCACGTAGTCCGAGTCAGTGCAAGTCATCAGCTCATGGACACCACGGTCCACAGCAAGTTGTAGTACTATCAAGATCCCAGCCACTTCTGAAACCTGTGAGGTCTTAGGACCCAACCAGTAACACCGGGAGTCCTTCTGGTCGGCGTTCAACCAGACGACACCCAAGCCTGACCTAGGCGCAGCACCGCGTCGAAAAGAACTGCCATCGACGTACACGGTCGGCAAGTCCACACAGAGAGACTGATCGAAGTAATGGTGGTTGGGGTTTAGAAGAGTCTGAGGAGGGCTAGCTGGCGGGACTGACGTGACAGCGTCGTCCAAGCAGTGTTGGCACGCAGACAAACCCATGCCAAGAGGGTTACGGCGGTTCTGGGCGTAGCGTACTTCGATGTCAAGCTTTGAAGAGCCAGCAGCCATGACGCGATTCGCGCGTTGGTCACCACACCATCTCTGATGTGCTGGCTGTTAAGGAAGGTCACTGGCTGGTGCTGAGTTTCAATGATGATCTTCTGTCCACCGATGTAGCAAGAAAAGTGTTTCACCACCCACATGGTGGAAAGCAAAGCTTTTTCACAGCCAGAGTACTTTAACTCAGGACCGGACAAGAGCTTACTAGCATAGGCTACGACACGCCTGTCGCAGTCATGAACTTGGTAGAGACTGGCACTCAAACTGTGAGATGAGAAACTGATCTCAAGGTGGAACTCCTTGTCACAGTCCGGGAGCGCCAAGCACGGAGCTGAGCATAATACGGCCTTCAGGTCATCCATGGCCTGTTGCTGCTGCTCAGTCCACTCGAAAGGCACGTCCTTCTCATGGACGTAATTTGGGGGGGGGGGGGGGACATGTCCCCCCCCCCCCCCTTTTTCCAAAGTCAAGTTTTGACCCCTGCACTTTTTACCACCCAAAAACAACATAACGCTATATTAAATTGACACTGGTTGAGCTCTAGGACCAAGCGGAAAACAACCGTTTGTTTTGAAGCCTGTTTCCCATTAGAGCATACTGTAAAGATGTACCCCCCCCCCCCCCCCCCCCCACCTCTAAAGTGAAAATTACGTCCATGGTCCTTCTTCAGTAGATCAGTCAGAGGTCTCGCTATCTCAGCGTAGTGTTCTACAAACTGGCGCGAGTAGTTGCACACCCCTAGGAAGCTCCGAAGTTCGGAGACATTCGTAGGAGGTGTGATGGGCGCCACACCATGAATTCTGCCAAGTTGAGGCTGCACTCCCTGTGGTCCCACAAGGAGGCCAACAAACTTAACCTGTGACCTGCACCACTGACCTCTGGCAGAGAAAGAGAAGAGTCATTTCATTGTTACAAGTGGTTAACCTTCATTTAGAGTGAACAAATGAAGTCTTACATTAGGTAGATGAACATGACTTGTCTCAGCTGTTCTGAAAGAGATGAGCCACTCAGCAGAAACATGAATTGGGTTATGGACTGTTCTACTGGGATCATACCTGCTTGGGAAATCCCGTTTTATACATGGGCTGCCCTCATTTTAGCGGGATGCCATTCTTTTACTGCTAAATTCTTTGCTGGTTCTGGTTTGTGATGCCCAATGCCAAACGGGAAGTTCCCAGGAGGAGCAGCTGTCTGATGCAGGATGAAACAGACTCAGAGAATGAACCAAAGAAGTTCTAAACAATAAATAAATAAATAAAAACAGAGTAGAGAGACTCGTGTTTTCCTGCTCAGAAGCAGTCTGACTCTGGAACGAACTGACAAAACCTTCATTTGTCAGTGCTGGAAAGATAATTTAACTAATTTCTTGTTGACACACTGAATGTTAATATAATAATAAAATACAACTTTTAAAATGAAACATAACACCACCACTCATATTCTCTCGGGTTTTAAAAACTTAGACCTTCTAAGGAAATTATGGAGTTTTTGTTGTTTTGGTCAAAAAGTGTTACACCCAGTCTCCGAGTATGTGTTGTGAAGTTTGAGCTCAGTACTGTCTGACTTTACCAGTGTCAATTAGCCGTAGCAGCCATTTTGAACATACATCCATTTTCATCTGCTTACCCAGGGGTGGGTCGTGGAGCAGCAGCCTAAGCAGCGAGGCTCAGACTTCTCTCTTCCCAGGCACGTGGGCCAGCTCTTCCAGGGAAATTCCAAGGTGTTCCCTGGCCAGCCGAGAGACGTAGTCCCTCCAGCTTGTCCTGGCTCTTCCCTTGGGTCTCCTCCTAGTTGGACATGCCCAGAAAAACTCACCGGGGGGTGTCCAGGAGGCGCCCTGACCAGATGCCCGAGCCACCTCAACTGGCTCCTCTCAATATAATCTTGAACATTTGACTCTATAAGTGAATCATCTGTAGATGATCATAATGATAAATCTCTGAAAGTTCGACTGATCTACTCAGTGATCCACGATCGTTCTGATCTTCAACGCATCATAATAAAATTCCTCTTGAATGAGACACATGACCAGTGATGACAGTTTGAGTGCAAGCCTCGCCGACGGCCATCAGTTGCTGTTATCCTCTACCCAACCAAAGGAATGAAGGCAATAAACAGAAGGGTTGTTGTCAAATATATATTATGAATTTTAATCTATTATTGTGAAATGTGAAGGTGTAAATACATGTTTCCTTTACAAAAGTTCACAGCAACAAAACATTGGTTCAACCAACTGAAGCAAGGCCCTTTAACAGAGCCTTTTGTATTCATCATCGGTAATAACTTAAACACAGACGGCATCTTTGGCACTGAGAAAGGAAACAATTATAGATAAATGGGAGCAAAGACACAAACAAAGAAAATATATTAAGTTTTGTCACTTCAAATGCGCCATTCATGTAAACAAGACTCCAAAAGTTGTTGTGAAGGTCAGTGAAACTAGGACGGGGCATCGACCAGCAAATGCACAGAGATGGAGATTAGGATTGAATGGGCTTCAAGGGAAATGCTATATAAACGTTACACACACACACACACACAGTGAAACTAGCACGAGCTTTAAAAGGGAGGGATCAAGGCTATCGCCTCAGAATTCTAGTACGTTCTGTATGTACAGAACCGCTGGACTTCCTGGTACAGGAAGCCATCCACCCCATTCTCAGCGAGCGCGGCCTACAGGGCGTCCTCATAACTGGAATTATGACACATTCCAGTTAAATACAACACAGCTCCTTAAAACAGTAGTCCACAGTCAGCAGTGTTTGGTAAACCTACAGTTAGCAGGGAAATAAATAGAAAATTCCATTCCGAGCGCGTAGTCTGCTCAGACATGTGAAATACGTGAAGAATGGAGAAAACACTGCTGAATATAACACAGTGATGGAGACAATTATTAGTGTAGCAAATGCAGGCCAATTATAGGCGACCATCTCCGTGGTAGGACCAGCTACCACGGCTCAGAGGGAACGACCAGCCCAGGAAGAGGAATCATGCGGAGAATGCGTTCCGTCTCAACAAGGCCGAGGGGTCAGACTTTAGATAGCCTTTTTCTTTAACAGGAACATTCCCTCAGCAAGGAATGTGAGAAGATTAGCTCCAGCGTGTCGTTGGAGGGGAGCAAAATGTTGGGCAGCCGCCATCTGAGGCCCTAAACATTAACTCGGGATCTGGAAAATTGGACCCCGGTGAAATGCTGTCAATCCTCGCCGAGTTTTTTTTTAAAGGAGAAATGAGAAGGCCTTCTGCAAGCTCTGCATTCAGAGGAAGTTTCTAAATCCTCCACTGAGCAGGGCCCCCGAATGTATTAGAGAGAGGAGCAACTGTTCGTTTAAATCCAAACTGTCCGGCAATACTGGGCAACCTCCAAACATAGAATCTGTTTAAATACTTCCATTACTTTAAGAAGGTTCCCCTTCTGGGGTGTGTCAGTAGAATCTAGTCAACCCAAACAACATCTACAGCACACCAACATCTCACAAATATAAATACAGTCCATAACTTATCAAAAACAACATGCACCGTCAGCAGCCCGGGCCAGGTAGCCCCCCCTCCACAAACGCTTCCGCCGGTTCCTGGCCGTCGCCTCTCACTCACATCCGTCACGGCTTAGATGAGGATTTCGATCGCCTCTGTGTTCGTGCTCTTCAGTGTCTTGAGCAGGGCTTTTGGATCCTCAGACGTAACTAAAATATCAAGTAAAACGACTTGTTCACATCTTTGTTATGTACTTGTTTAAATCGTTCGAAAATAATTAAAAAGACCATCTTAAATGTGGGTCTGAATGCTGGTGATGAAGAATAAGCCCACCAGTAGCAGCCGCTGAGTTCTCTTCCATTGAGTTTATCTTGGAGGCATCTGCTCTGACCTTCAGCTCCAGCTGGACCTCGTCTCTTTGGGTACTGGAGTCTAGACTCGGGCCCTTGGCCGTGACAAAGGACGGGGGTTTAGGCACAGCACCACCTGTCTGGTCATCGGAGATGCTCTTTCCTACACATGCAGACAAAGAGAGGACACGGTTTAATTACCACTTTCATCCTGAACATCTGCCCTTCTCAGATCTTCCCACGGCTATTCTGGATGGGGCTATTCTGGAGTGAGAGGTGATATGTGTTGCAGTATAAAAACACGTCGCCTAGTTGAGTAACACAGGAGGATCGTCGCCAACGTCCTATTTATTTTTTTAGAATGCATATGTTCTGTCTGGTCTGGTCCAGTCCCTCTCCGAGCAGCACGAACAGCCTACCTTTCCTCTCCGTGCTGCAGGTCATGGTGCTGATGGTGGGGACGGACCTGGTTGGACGAAGCCCCCGTTTCTCCAGCTTGCTTTGCTCCGACCTGGAGTGCTGTTGCAGGACTTTAATAACGGCGTCTTTCTCCAGGAGCTGAACATGAAGCGCACGGATCCTACAAACACACGAAACCCATCATCCAGGTTCACGTTCTCCTAAAACGCCACAAACAGAAATCTACGGTGTGACCAGAACTCAAAATGAGTCCTACCTGTTCTCCATCTCCTGGTGTCTGTGAGGTGACAGAGGCAAGTCTTCATTGAAGCTGCTGTTTGGTGAATGTCTGGGTGACTGGTTTATGATGGTTGTATCCCTGAAGTGAAAACACGTTATTGTTTGAATGCTGGAACCTTGTTAGATGACCTGGTGTTTGATTAAAAGCTTGGCGGTACCTCTGTGCTGCAGCAGTAGCAGCTGCATCCATGGCAAACTGCCTCATGGTGCTCTCCTCCAAGTACTTCTGCTCCCACTTGGTGATGTCTGCCTCCAGGGCCAGGATACACTCCTCCCTTTCCCTCAGCAGCTGCAACGTGGACAAGCTTACTTCTGAAGCTGCGAGATCAGAATTTCGGTTCTAAAAATGAGCGCAAATACACAAAAAAGTTAAAGAGCCAGCATTCCTTGGAAGATTAAATATGACCCGCTGCCTCAAAGTCTGATCATCTTGTGTTGAAAAAGGATTTTCTCCTCCGAGCAGCAGCAGATGTTATCGACCTCCGTTCCTTACCTGTTGCGCCCTGAGGCTTTTCAGCTCCTGCTCCAGACGAGTGCGCAGCCGCAGCTCCAGCACCTCTCTTTTCTCGCACGCAGCCTGCAGCTGTGCCAGAGAGCTCTGCAGACGCTCCACCTTCTTCACGTAGGCTCTCTTTCGGAGCAGCTCTTCCTCCAGCTGCCTGTTGCGGTTCTGCTCCGAGGCCAGAGCCTGCTCCAGAAGCTCCCTCCTCTGCTGGCATTCTTCCCCGGACGCCCGCAGATGCTGAAGCTGTCTCTCCAGTCGTTCCCGCTCCCGCTGCTGCTCTTCATCTGAGAGACAAATGAATTTGAAACGTAATACAAGATAAATGGAGTGATAACTTACTTAAAAATATGAGATGTTAATCTTCAAACGAGTACGGAAAAGTTAAAGTTTTCAATTTTCTTGGGAAAATTTTGAAGCAAACATTGTAAAAATGTCTGAATTTGACCTAATTTGATTTGTTTTTTACACACCAAACCGTCACGCATCATCTCCTGTTTCTTACACTCATGACTTGTAGAAACTAAATGGAGGTTTCTAAAAATGTTCCTGTTAGAAGAGCTTCTCGATTATGAAACAAATATTATTAATTTAAAAAAAATATCCTGGTCCTCACGTTTGAAAGAAAAACTGCACATTTTTGTCAGCAGGTGGCAGAGTTGTGCTGTTTAGTGGTGGCTAATTATGAAATATGATTTATGCTCTAGAATCAATAGACTGCCATAAAATACCTCTTAAAGCTAAATTTATCAGATAGGTATTTTTATACCATATAAAACACAATATTGTGCCTGTTAGATTTGTCAGATGAAGAGTTCATGTGCAGACAGCACTGCTACATAAACAGAGAAGATGCTACAGGAGCCTGGATGTCCACGCAGGAAGTCAGTTAATTAAAAAAAGGTGTTTTTAGGAGCAGTAATGACTAATATCAAAACCATGTGTAGGTCATAATCAAAAATAACACAGGCAGGTTTTTTACTTGCATGCATTTATACATACATACATACATACATACATACATACATACATACATACATACATACATACATACATACATACATACATACATACATACATACATACATACATACATACATACATACATACATACATACATACATACATACATACATACATACATACATACATACATACATACATACATACATACATACATACATACATACATACATACATACATACATACATACATACATACATACATACATACATACATACATACATACATACATACATACATACATACATACATACATACATACATACATACATACATACATACATACATACATACATACATACATACATACATACATACATACATACATACATACATACATACATACATACATACATACATACATACATACATACATACATACATACATACATACATACATACATACATACATACATACATACATACATACATACATACATACATACATACATACATACATACATACATACATACATACATACATACATACATACATACATACATACATACATACATATATATATATATATATATATATATATATATATATATATATATATATATATATATATATATATATAGTTATATACACATATATATATATATGTATATATATATATATAGCATATATATATATAGTTATATATACACACATATATATATATGTACATATATATATATATATGTGTGTGTGTATATAACTATATATATATATATATATATATATATATATATATATATATATATATATATATATATATATATATATATAGATATAGATAAACACACACACACACACATATACAACCAGTTTGTTTTGCCCTTGTTCTGCCATCTTTACCAACGCTGACATTTTAAAAAATGCAGATGACCTGTGTGAGTTCTGCCTTTTGAAGGAGTCAAGATTTGGGAGGTATGATAAAAGTGGAACGGGACAAAATATATTATTACTAATATTTGTTATTCTTCGGTTAAATTATCCGGTTTTGCGATTGTTTGGAGCCACCAGAAAATTAGATTCAGTTTAACGAACGACCCAATTCTCAAATCTTACACTTGTGACCTTGTAATGAAAAATCAAACATTCCTAGAGCATTTTTGCTAAAGCACTAATAACAAAAGGATTTGACAGGAAGGCCAGTTTCTGTGGCTCTCTTGTGCCACTCTAAACGGGGGGCTGATTACACAACACCAGTGCATGCCTGTGGAGGGAATGCAGACTTCCTCTTATCCACTTACGCACACAAGTATAGCTTTGTACTGGCAAAAGCTCTGGAATGCTTCTAAGAACGTGAAGTAAACAAGCAGCTCAAAATATTTCTTGTGGTTCTTGTGAAAAAAAGATCTCATCCATACTCTGTTGCTCCCACGGTCTCTTTGCAATCTGAAGGCCCGTGACAACGTGGAGTTTGAGGAAAGAAACTTAAAGTCTGAGGAATCGAGACAGAAACTTGCCAAATCTATAGAGCATATCCCTGCACAGACTTAAAAATGTGTCATTAAATATTTACAAGTGGTCCATTAAGCCACGAGGTGAAGAAACAACCAAACAAGGAGGGCGCGAGGCAGAGGTCACGCTGTGTTGGGTCAGGATGCCCCTGAGTCCCAGACTTATTAGATCCCCCTGAGAGGGGGAAGTCAGCCATGACGCAAAACAACAAAAAAAAAAGGGCCCAGAGGAGGTGCTTCTAATTGTGGAATGAAGAAAAAACATGGCAGAGACATTTCAGGAATCCAGGTCACATTTACTGCAGCGATGAAAAAGGCTGGAGTCTGAGTTAAATGAAGGAATTGAGACATGCGTGTCATCACTGAGGGAGGAAACCAATCCCTGCCCTGCTATGTCCCTGTTATTGTTAAGAGCTGCACTGGGAGGTCTGTTAGGACAATCACACACATTACGGTCTGCTGTGAGAGGTGTGGAAGTGCAGAAACCTCGAATGCAGACATCTACTCACTCTGCTCCAGGAGTTTGACAAAGACATGCTGCCTCGGGTCAGCGCACTCAGCATCTTTAGCTGCTCCGTGTTCGATAGCTGCATCAAGTTGTTCTATTCAGCGGATAACAAACATAACACAGCGATTACACACACGTTTAATGTCACACTGAGATGTTGATAGTTTAGTCTGACCAGATAAAATACCTCTAAGGTCCCGGTTGAAGTCATGCATCCTCCTAATCTCTGCCTCCAGTTTACTCCTCAGGGTTTTCTCCAGAGTCTCCCGCTTGGCCGAGCCTTTCATCAGCGTCTCATAAGCCTCAGAAATGTGTTGAATTTCCAGCTCCAACTGGGAAAGAAATGCAAAGTGATCACTCTCCGATTACCTGGTGTGGTGTCTGGACGGTGGCTGGGAGCATGAATGTGCCTAATGAGTCACCTCTGCAACAGCAGTTTACAGGCTTTTGAGCATAATGTGAAACTGAATCAGGAGATTAAAATTCCTGAGTGAGCATTTGTTAAGCCCCAGGTGTCAAGGCGTTTGGTTCCCTCCACGGCTAAAGGTAACCTGTTTTAGGACAACAAGAGCGATGGGATGGTGTCCAGCGGTATGTCTCTATGAAGTTATACTACCAAATACACATTTTTACCAGTACTCACCCCAGGTTTGGACATTTGGGCTTCGTGGCAGCTTTTCTGTGTTTTATTAACACGCCACAAAAACACACAAAGTCTGTGTTTTGTTCTCTAAACTGCACAAACTTTTCACCCACTGACATGAATTGGTAACTTCAGTTGAGATCAACCAGTATGGGCTTTACTAATGCCGATACCGATGCCGATTTTTGGCCCATTTTGGCTGATATCTAGACCTTTCTGCTTTATCTGCATACTAAAATCTCAAAAATATCAACAGTGAATGCATATTTCTGCACCTGAATCTGTGTTTGAACACTGAATTTAACCAACTGTTGAATCTTAATTTTGTGCACTGCTCCGTGTTCAAACACATCACTAAAATGACGAGTGTTAATATATAGAACAGGAGCATAAAAGAAATGTCAGCTGACAAAAATGTATTAGAGCATTCATTAAGCAGGCACGTTTCAGGAACATAAACATCCGTTTAAATATAATCCTGCAGCAGCATTAGGCTGCATGCTTCTGACCTTTTGGTCTACTGTATTTCTAAACTGCAGTACCCTGAAAACATGATCTCTGGATATTTTATTTTACATCTCTGAGAATCTCTGATTTCAGGTCAGTGTCTATTGGGAATCAAATGACATATTTTTTAATGGTGGAGATTTAAAATATACAACTATATGAAAATGGAAAACTATCAACGTAAATGCAAGCCATGATAGACAATCCAGTGCTTTTATTTTGAAAAGCCACACTGCAGTGCAGTGCCGAGCTTTTGTCCAAAGAGGAAAAATAATTA